AAAAAAGGATTTGAAAAGGCAACTTGAAAAGAAAATGGAAATGGAATATAACTTGCACCATTTATACGATAACATCTCAGGCGGACAGCGGTGTCAATCAATAGGGATGCAGGGCGGTGTGGCTGGTAGCGCTGTTAGTCCTGAGTCCAGGATGTTAAAGTTGAATATAATCCAGGCTCCCAAAGTCAACTAAAGAGTAATTAGTTACTCTAAATTGATCGCCGATTGTTGTGTCTCTTTGTTGCCCTGTGATATAGGCAACCTGTCTATTTGGTCACTAGAGATAGACACCAGCCCTTTGTGACTCTACAAGGATTATTGGGTAAAGATAGATAGATGGATAAAACTGTATAATAGAAAATACAACACTGAGCTTGTTTGGGTTTTCATAATGTTTCAGTGGATCGCAGGAACTCATTAGCGTATGTTTGTGATTTTATATGTTGAAAACAGTGGTAGTTTATCATGTAGGCGGTATGGCTTTCTGCCCAGGACAGCCCACCACGGGGAGGAAGGATGGAAAAAAAAAAGTTTTCAATGGCTTTTCTGAGGCTAATTGAGTGTCAGCTTGCCTGGTGTACATGCATTACTGCTGTAGACAACATTTGGCTTTTGAGGCTGAACTGTGCATCTGAGCTGTAGATAAATTATATGGTTATTCTGCTGTTTTCCCAGAAGGGACTGACTCTGAACTGAATTTGATCAAAATCTTACACATATTGTCATTTTTATTTCTGTTCTGAAAACTGCAGTGATAAACTATCCTGGCCACTGATGAGATGAATCTAAACAAACTCACATAGGAGTCTAAAACACCTATATGTGAAGATGGTCTTTTAGTCCTTCAGGGAATTAATTTCTCTTGCAGTCAGAACTAAACTGGTCAGTCTTAGATTATGGCACCTTGAACAAAAGAAATGCAAAGACAATTTCAAGATCAAAGAATCTAATGGGAACAGACCAGAAAAGCGTTTCTAATTATTTATAGTCATTATGGCCACTAAGACTGATTGAAACAAGACTATAATGATACTCATCTATGTATCTAGATTAGGGCTGCAAATAACAATTATTTTTCAAATCGATTAATCTGTAATCTGTCAGTTATCGATAGCCGAAGGTTTCTTTTTTTTTACGAAATTAAACCAGGTGAAACTAAATCTTTTCCACTTGAGGAGTTCTGGATAGGGCGCATTGATGGACATAAAAGTTTTTTTTTTTTATCTTAAATGCAAAATATTTACGTTTTTAACAATATTGATATAACTGCTGGTCTAAGGGTTGCTCTGTCAGCTAAATGCATGTTTTAGAGTCGCTATACTCTATTTAATGATTAATCAATTACTAAATTAGTTAACGATTATTTCAATAATTGATTATTCACGATTAATCCGACAATTGTTTCAGCCCTAATCTAGATTAATTTAAATCTGATCACTACTTTTAGTGGCCGTGTACAGCGGGGTTATATAAGGAGGGACTCTGGAAGCCAAAGTTACCAAAATACACTAATTCAGCTTGTTTGTCCGTCTTTACAGGGGCGGAGCTAGATGGGGGTCCAGAGGTGGCCATGGCTACTCTTAGCCACCCCTGTGGCCACCCGTACCATTTTTTCGCCCTCTAATACAAACAGTGGCAGCAGTAATACTGTGAAGAGGAATGTTTAAACTTATTAAACATCTTAATTTTTCATATATTAATAGTTACTTGTCAACTAAAATGCTGTGGTTAATTATGCACATCAAAATACTAACATTAAAGTTTATATATGCAGAATTCATGCTCTTTTAAGACCCTAATTTTGTGTTATAATGGGTAAAGAGAAAATTTCTCTCTGCAAGTAATCAAGGAGTTTTCTGTGAAATCTTAAATAAATAACTACTTTAATAATAACTTTAAAATCTGTCATATTAATGTTATGCAGAACAATTTTTGATAAACTCGGGTAAATAATGACAATGGAAAATATGTTTCCCCCAGACATTTTGTCCACTATACCTTCTAGACCAGGGGTCACCAACTTTTTTAAGGCTTAGGGCTACTTTATGGGTACTGAGTCATAGGACGGGCTACCAATACTGACCTATGAACTAGAGGAGTCGGCGTTCACCTGAACTTCATAGATAGTAAACATATTTCTATTGTTTCTTTTCATTTCTAATTTGCTTTTAGATATTCTCATTATGAAATCCATATAAATCCTCAAATTTTCTAATTTATTGATATGATAAAATGCTTCATAAATGCTTCAAAATAAGAGCTTCAGTAAAAAATAACATTTCAGATTTAGTCCACTGGTNATATAACTGCTGGTCTAAGGGTTGCTCTGTCAGCTAAATGCATGTTTTAGAGTCGCTATACTCTATTTAATGATTAATCAATTACTAAATTAGTTGACGATTATTTCAATAATTGATTAATCATGATTAATCTGACAAATGTTTCAGCCCTAATCTAGACCAATTTAAATCTGATTATTAATTCAGCTTGTTTGTCTGTCTTTACAGGGGCAGAGCTAGATGGGGGGCCAGAGGTGGCCATGGCCACCCGTAGCCACTCATTGGCCACCACTGTGGCCACCCTTACCATTTTTTTTTTACCTCTCATACAGACGGTGGCAGCAGTAATACTATCAAGAGGAATGTTTAAACTTATTAAACAGTTTAAATTTTCATATATTAATAGTTACTTGACAACTAAAACGCTGTCGTTAATTATGCACATCAAAATACTTACATTAAAGTTTATATATGCAGAATTCAAGCTCTTTTAAGACCCTAATTTTGTGTTTTATGGGGTAAAGAGAAAATTGTGTCTCTGCAAATCATCAAGGAGTTTTCAGTGAAATCATAGATAAATAACTACTTTAATAATAACTTTAAAATCCGTCATATTAATGTTATGCAGAACAATTTTTGATAAAAGTAGGTAAGTAATGAAAGTGGAAAAGATGTTTCCCCCAGACATTTTGTCCACTATACCATCTAGACAGTATGGATGATGAAATATATGCATTTATTTGTAATGAAAAGGCTGTAGAAAAGTATAGTTTGTCTTTATTTAGAAAATATGGATGTTGTGCTTGTTCCTGTTGGAACAGATGGACCCTGAGGTTCTGGCCCCTATCTGCTTTCAGCCGCCCTTCAGTTTACATTGGTTTTTGACTGGCCACCCCTATTACAATTTTCTGTCTATGCCTCTGCATCTTTAAGCCTTATATGTATAATATTTTAGTATATATGGTTGGAAACATACCTGCTGCATGCCATCTGGCAGGTTTCTGACCCGGGTGTCCAGGTGACTGTGCAGAAGCTCTTCCTCTGAGTGGATCTGTTGCAAGAGCCGCTTGGGCTGGACGACCTCCTCTGCAGAGGGCAACCTCCCCTCCAGCCTCACACCTGTATGAAAGACACGCAATGAAAACTGATATGAATGGGTCCCTTTCAGGGGTCTCTGAAGTACTCTCTCTATTGCCATTACGCTCCTGCATATTTCTGATTATTATATGGGAAAATATGAGGGAGTTAAAAAAAAATGTTTTATTCGTTGCAGAAATCATAGGATTCACCTTACCCGTCTCGGCGCAGCTCGCACAGACTGCGGCGAACAGCAGGCATCTCACTGGGAGCATGATGCTCTCATAGTCCCGGGGATTGTCTCGATGCTGCGCCGTTAGATGAAGAAGCGGCAGGAGCGGAACTGATGCTGGCAGAGAGGACGAACACGGCAGCTGCTCTCCTTCAAACACCGCGTCCGCATTTCTCAAAGACCTCTGCCACCGATTAATTATTCTTGATAGGGGGGTTACCAAAAGCACACCTGTCAGGGCGCGCGCGCGAGCGTGTGTCGGCTGCTTCAAGAGAGCAGGAGACCAAGCGAAGAGCCCGCGAGCCTGGAATAAAGGGAGCGCGTGGGGCTTTACGTGTTTCACCCTCCTTCCTACTTGGAGAGATGAGCCTTTAAGGATTTCAGAACTAATCATCTGCTAAACCAGTGGCGGTTCTAGACCAAATGTACCAGGGGGCCAGGAGGGGGGCGGCGTGTTTTCATTGGGGCACAGAAAAGCATTGAAATAAAAAACATGGCAAAGGATTCAAATATATGAAGAGGGCTGCATGAAGTAAAATTTTTATTCAGTTAGGTTTAATTAAAATTCAATTTCTTATGAGGTCAATATACATTCATAATTTAGGAATTTTACCTATTTTACACTTAATTTAACTTAAAACTGGGATCCTATCTCAATATCGCTGAAGCTCAGGGGTGGAGCTACATGGGGGGCCAGGGGTGGCCATGGCCACCCTTAGCTAATCATTGGCCACCCCTACTATCACCCCCCCACCCCGCCCCAATACAGGTGGTGGCAGCAGTAATACTCGTGGAATATTAAAAATATTAAAAATCTTCATATATTAACAATTACTTGACAACAAAATCACTGGTTAATATGTGGTTAATTTGGTTATGTACATCAATATACTAACATTAAAGATGATAAATACAGAATTCTTGCTCTTTTCAGAATGAAATTTTGTCTTATGGGGTAAAGAAAGTATGTGTTTTTGCAAGTCATCTAAGAGTCTTCAGTGAAATCATAGACAACTATTTTAATAAATCAATTTATGTAGATATTAGTACTTGTAAATATCAATTTTTATGCAGAATGATTTTTGATAAAAGTAGGTAGGTAGGTAATGACAATGGGAAATATGTTTGCCCAAGAACTCAAACCTGAAACAATTTTATCCATTATACCTTTTATCTAGAAACCATGGATGTTTAAATAAATGTGCTATTTGTTTGGAAAGACTGTAGGAAAGTATAGTTTGTCTTTATTTAGAAAAAATAAATGTTTTGCTTGTTAATTTTCATGGTGGAATAGTGTAGATTGAACATGAGGTTCTGGCGCCGATCCACTATCGGTCACCCCTTAGTATACACTGGGTATTGCCTGGCCACCCTTATAAAAAGGTTCTGGCTATGCCTCTGCTGAAGCTATCACCTTATTGTTTTTAAATAATTAGTAAAACATCAGTTGTAAAGAAAAAAAATGAAATAGATCCAAAGGACCTATCAGTAACCATGTCTGTTCCAGCACATATCATCATTAGAATTTCTTTTAAGTATTATTTCTTCAGTACAGGGGCCAGGACATGATTTACAGGGGCACTGGCCCCCATTGGCCCTTGTCTAGAACCGCCCATGTGCTAAACAGTTATCAATGGTGACAGAAAGTGAGCTTTACCACAAAATATGGCTTTAAACCGGCAAAAAAAAGAAAAAAAATATATCTTTACAACCGCAGGGAAAGACATTAAAATGTGTTCATTAATATTAGAAACTGCCTTTATAAAGCTCCAAGAGCAGGGGAGGATCTAGGATTCTAGGAGACCAGGGGCTTAGCACTGAGGAGGAAGATGAGAGTGTAGACTTTCTGCTAAATCCCGTTCTAATGTTAAATATGACAGATTTCTGAATTGAGGAAATTTCTAGTATACTACATGCTATCACACATACCAATTCCCCTCCATAACATGGGATTAAATAAACGTACCTGCAATTCTTTGTGTTTATTCCTCTCTTCATCAACAACAAACTCTGTGGATTTGGGGACGGTTGATCATTATCTGTTATCAGAAGGAAATATGACTGAGAATGAATTGAGAAAGCTTTCTGGATGGAGAGAGAAACATCTTTAAACTTGGAAAACAAAGTCCAGTTTTTTTGTTGTTGGAATATTTGAAAATTGTTAGAAAAACATTTAAACAGAAAAAAAAAACATTTCATTAAGATCTTCAAAGGGGGAACGGATTATATCAGGTGGCTAAAATATATGATTTCCCTCTCTATGATCAAATATCACCAAATCCAGTGGGTTTGTTGTTGATGAAGAGAGGAAAAAAACACTGTTAAAGACTTGCAGGTCAATTAATTTCTTCCCATGTTATTGAGGGGAACAGATTATTTCAGGCAGCTGAAATATCCATTCTCTCCTCTCCTCCTCTTATATCTTTGGGAAATAAAGAGCAACTGTTTCCAAATTCTCTGAAATTATGTGTGATAGCATGTAGTATGCTATAAATGTCCTTAATCCAGTAATCTGTCATATTTTACATTAGGACGGGATTTACACTCTCATCTTTGCAGGAACTCTTAATTTCCAGTACTGCAAATTTTACTCAGATCAGCTCAGAAGCGACATCCGGATAGCACTTATTATGGGGACTCCAGATGAACTTCTACTGAGTTTTAATGTGTTTGCGGGGATTTGGATTATGTCTCTAACAGTGGACATGCACCTATGATGACAGTTTCAGACTCGTCCATGATTTCTAAGTGGGAGAACTTACAACATAGCACAAAGTTCAAATACTTATTTTCTTGATTGGACCTGGTTTGTCATCAGCAGTTCAGTTCCTGACTGAGTTTATTTTTGTTGACTGAAACTAATGAAGTTAGGAAAATTAGAAAAACAAACATATTTTTGTTAACTGCAAGAAAAATCTAATTCAGACCACGCAAAAAAATATATCTGAAACTTAGTTTACAAAATTGAACCAACTAAAGAGAGAATTTGCTTATTTTTGTTTCTGTCTTTATCACAAAACCTAGACCTCTTTGATACCAGCTGTAGTTTTTGGTTTCCGTTTTAACTTTTTTTTTTTTTTAACTGTACCACATTACACAAGCAGATGGCAGGTGGGACATTTGTGTTGCTGATGGGTTCTGTTCTTACGCAAGATTTTATTTGTATTATTTTAATGTTTTTCTCAATTTCGCCCTAGTTATGAAAGTCTCATTACATAAAAAAACAAGAATATAACAAACTAGGGCTGCAACTTGCAATTTTTTTTTTTAAATCCATCAGACTGGTGATCATTTTCTGGATGAATCGATTAATAATTGAACAGCCAAAGGTTCCTTAAAGACTTTTTACAAAATTTAACCAGGTGAGGCAAAAAAATGCACCGCTTCAGGAGTTCTGAATAGAGCATTTTGAAAGATAAAAGCATTTTTTTTTTTATCTCAAAATTTATGCAAATCATTTTTTTTTATATATATATATATTTTTTTACAATTTTGTTAAAATTACTGCTCTAAGTGGGTTGTTCTGTCAGCTGAAGGCATTTTTTAGTCTCTATACTCCAGTTAACGATTAACAAATTAGTTGATTATTTCAATAATCAATCTGACTGTTCAGCACCAACTAATAAAAACTTAACTAAAAGAATTAAAATCAAAAGTCTAAATAAATACCCGATGAAAAGTTTAAAACAATATTAACCTTGATTGAGACAAAAAAAAAAAATCAGTAATTTTAATGACAAAACCTTCAAATATCACATTAATATTGTGCTTTGGATTTGTTCTAGTTTCATAAATATACATCCAGAGAACTGCTTATCAAACATTGTTTATGCTGTTAGCAGAGATGGTCTGATAAGCAGCTACCCTTGTTTTTAACTTTGATACCAACAAGCTGAGTCAGCATTTATTAAGATGACAGGAAAAAAAAAATGTCTTCAGAAAAATAGCTACAAACTGTTTATTTAAAACAAGAAACATGTAATAATTATTTCTAGGAAAACAGCTGGTCTTCAGTAAAATAAAATCATTTGTAAACTGTTTTTGTGATGGGTTTTATGGCTTGGGGTTAAAACATCTTCCAGTAAAGCCTCTGTGGAAGTGTGGCACTCTACCTGCATTTTACAAAGCCTGTCCTTTGGCGCACCTTCAGAGGGCAGGAACAGCTATATGACATTCATCGGAGAGTTTGTATCCTCAGCTATACGAACGCCTCCGCTGTTTGACCATCAACATCTCATGTGGGATCTGAGCCAGGCATAGCACTTAGAGTAATTGAGTAATGCTTCCCCTTTCACAAAATGGCCTCATTAAACTCTCAATGCAGCCGTGTGTTCTCTGACGGACACAGCGAATGACTGCAGTCAGCAAAACACAACATTACATCAGATTCCGTAGTCCAACACAACTTTACAACAGAAGATAAAGTGAAATGTTAAAATCATAGAAAACGCAGCTCGAAAGAGACAAAGAAATGTTAAGGATCAGTTTTAAAAACAACTTCATAAGCTGTAAGTCAATATTTATTCAGAATAAAGCATTTGACAAGCTTGCTTGCTTTCAAGTAAAATTCATCTAGTAAAAGAAATACAATTAGTGCTGAACCTCAACAATCTGCACCACAGTTCTGGAAAAAGTCGGAGAATCCGCATCCTTTCTGAACAGCGACGTTGCCGGGGACGACGGCTGAAGGACAGTGTGCAGGTGAGACTCGTAGCTGCTGTTGCGCATCCAGGGACAAGGCCTGTGGAGTAGCTCTCTGTCCAGCTCACGGTTCTGCTCTGTGGTGGTCGGAGGCGACTGAAGGTCGCAGTCCCAGTCGGAGTCTGTTGACCCAGAGGAGTGCGTGGCGATGTCTGGGATGAGGGCTGGCTCGATCCACATTGAGGTAGAGAGGGAAGGTGAGGGCTGAGAGTGTCGACTGGAGATTGCACATGTAGTTTTGTTATTATCTAAAGGGGATTTAGAGTCTGTTCCTTTTGAGGGTGGGTGACCTGCAGAAGAATCTATTTGAAACAGTGTTTGAGTCAATTTCTGAGCAGCGGAGAAGGAACCTGTGCGGTCCATCTGTTCTGGGTCCATCTGAGGGAAGGTTTGTCTTACAGGATAAGACGCATGACTGTACAACGAACAGGCCACAACTTTTGCTAGATTGTCGCTTTGTGCTTTTAAAGGGCTAAGCCTTTGTCTGCAACATCCACTCTTTTCTTCAGCGCTCTTCATCCTCTTACTGCTCTGTTCAGGACTGGCTGATCTACAGCGCTTTTTAGGGTTTGGTGCCACAGCTGTCAATCCAGGATATGAATTGGAAGTACTTGATGACCGAGGAGGAGACTTTAAATCTGTGTTGCAAAGT